AAAATAAGTTGCTCTTTTCCTAGGTTACATAAAGATGTTATACGTTGAAAGCTTGCGTTGTTAGATTTCTTTAATTCTGTATTCAAATTAAAATATAATTTATATTATGTTTAGCCTCGGAACATCAAATCCAAGTGATTAAAAAGTAAGAATTTATTTTTATGTTAATGATAAAATTAATTAAATATGTAAGTAAGGGTATATTCGTGATTCAGCGCTAAACGCTTTGCCAAGTATGAAACGCAGTCCTCAGTTTTTATTTATTTATTTTATGTGTCTTTCATTTCTCGATATGGAATTTTAATTTTTTCAGTTTAAATTTAATTACCAGATGTAAATAAAATAAAATAATCAATTATCTACCGATTATCATGAAGCCGATACATTTGCATGATCGTATCTAAAATTGCCGAATGTAAAACAATATCGTATTTCGTGGCATGAAATTCAGTCGGAATCGAGTTAAATTCGTCCGCCCCAATGAAGCTTTTGTTGGGCGGGCGTCAAGTGCGACTTGCACATGCCACGTAAAGAACGACCAATGCACCGTGAAATTGCCTATTTTCCACGTGAATTTATTTATTTATTTCATATTACAGCGATGACATTTCCATTCGCTCCCGGAGTACGGCTCAGCGCTTCGGAAAATCTCTATATAAACCGCACCTGTTCTGCGCAAACAATTCAAATTCATTGCTTAATTTAATTACTCTTAAATCTTGAGCATTAACGAACTTGTACTTTGAACTAAAATCCTGAATATTTTAGTACGATACGTCTCAACCAGGTAGTGCATCCAGCTGCGCTAACGCTCATAAAGGACTCTACTGCTTTGTAGTTACAGTTCATATTCGAATGAACAGTTGGGAGATATATCATTTACGTCACCGAGAAGGGAAACTGATTCATTTCCGATGCACGGTTGAAGCTCTTTGTGGAGTACGTCGGCTGCGAATTGCTCACGTTTTCAACATTTGATTGGGACATCAATACGTCTAAAATATTGTTGCATTTACCTGAATGCTTTAAATGACGTTTCGAGAGCTCGAAGTTGTCATAGAATGGGAAATCTAATTTTTAGATCATGAAATATTTCGTATTCCCGGGGGCGTTTAAGACATCCTAAATTTCCCTCCGAGAGTTGGGGCAAAACAGACGCTGACTGGCATCCCCCTAGCGAACCTCCGTCACGTAGCAATCGCATCTGCAAAATGCAACAATGCAGAAGAATTCAATCTTATGTTTGTTTCAAGGCTGCATAAAACAGAAATATTAAATTTTGCTTCCATTGTGCTTTTAGCGTTTTAAGTAAATATTAACTTAATAATTAAAAGCTATGCGAACACACGATATAATTTTAGCAGCAATATCCTTTTAGATAAAACACTTTAACGGTTTAAAACGCGATATATTAGTTAAAATATATCGCGTAAGTTTAACCTTAACTTATGCTTTTTAAGTATTTCTTAAACTTCTTTCCATCTAGTAGCGTGAAATAGATTTCTCTTTTTTTTTCGCTCATCTGTACCAATATTATAAAGCTAAAGAATTTGTTTGTTTGAACGCGCTAATCTCAGGAACTACTGGTTCGAATTAAAAAAATATTTTTGTGTTGGTGAGACTATTTATCGAAGAAGACTTTACGCTACAAAAAAACTAGGCTTCCACTAATAAGAGTGAATATAAATAACAGTGGAAAATGTGGCAAATATTGGGATTTTTATTTTTAACTCAACGTTCGAGATACCCAAAAACATGTATAAACAATTATAGATTTTTAAACAATATAAAAAAATGACGGCAGTATATTTTCTTAGGCTAACTCACAAGAACCTTTTTAATGGTAATCAATTTTAGTCAAAATACGTTTGCCAGGTTAATTAGTGATATAATACCGCCTGTTGTACTTAATAGCTTAAAATTATTATACATGTAATGTAAGCTATTAAAAAATCCATCAATAAAATATGAAATTACAATATATCTTCGCGTTAATCTGTGTCTCAACGTACCTAAACAGAAGCAGCGGACTAACAGACCCAGGTGTCGCTACAGTCTACTGTATAGTTCTTTAAGCCGAACGAGCTTCGGCCAAACGTAGGCATTTAAGCTTCCTAAATATTATCTCTACTGAAGCTGTATCTCTGTGAAAGTAGAAACTCAAGCTTTATGGAAGATAGAAACAATATATATACTGTCTAGAAGTAGCTAAGACGTTAAAAAACGGATTGATACAATAAAAATAATATTTGTGTCTTGACACATACATACATAGTGTCTTTTAATCACAGACAGATATTTTTTTAAGATAGAGGAGGACAGACAGGGTCTCACTTGATGGTTAAGAAGTCTAGCCATATAACATCTAACTAAGATGCCTTGTCTATCATGGCTTTTTTAACTATGGACGGACGGTGGTTCGTAACTCGGAAGGAATTTCGTTTTTTCTACCATCCACTTAATATACAGATTTCCAGAGTTCAACGTGTTTCAGAAAATATGAAATTGATTCCATGTTGGACCCGGTGGAGAATGAACCCACGACATTTCTACCGTTACACCATCGAGACCCGTTATATGATTAGACTTATGTGGTACGCCTGACCCCATTATTTTTAGTATTTCTCAATGAGATATTGGGGAGCGTTCAATTTATAATATAAATATCGTAATAGAACATATTATCTTTCGACAGCGAAAGGTGAGATAGTAAATATAAAAAGTTGTGAACTAAGATGGTTATCAAATTGCATTAGGAGATTAAAATTCGATAGTTCAAGCCCAGTGGTATCGAATCGAAACTCGAAACGATCCCGAGTCAACTGACGTATATTTGCGATGCAGGCGGCGCGTCTACGGCGAACTTCGTCTGGCGAATGCAAAAATTTAAATTAAAAACATAAATCAGGCGTGTATCGAGTAAGTTTCGAGACCGATATACATTTCAACTGCACGCTCCGAAACATGTACTTGGCTTATCGACTTTTTATTCCAATATTTTTATTTAATTACACTAGACATCAAGATTCGATATGCCGAACATTAATTTGATATTTGACGAGCGAGCTTATTACATTCATTAAGAAATAATTCGACGTCTATCGAGTGAGAATATCCTGTTAAAATAAAACGTACTCACAGATAATTAAAGACGAGGAATTTCGTTTAGGTATTTTTGGATTAATTGCTCTGAAATATTATAAGTATAATAATGCTAATATAATCTTAATTAAGAGAACTTCACGACGCTCAAATTAGAAATTTTAATCTCTGGAAAATCCGTTATCGTGACGCCGCTTACAATTTTGAATATTATTTACGTTTTTCGTTCGTTCAGTTTTTAAGTAGATTAGACAATAATAATTCACGTTTATTTTATTCGAAATATGTGAAAAAAGAAACCTTTTGAAATTTTATACTGTAAGATAAAACACTATCAATATTGTTAAAAATAAAAATAAAATATGCTTTATTCTCTTTCAAATAAAAAATAATAATTAGCTTAAACAAACAAAGAAAGAAAAATGTTTGTCTGTCTGTCTGTCGTGATTCTACTGTGTTAAACTTATTTAGTCGGTAATTATTTCGTAAAAGCAACCACAAATTTTCTTTTCATAATTAAGCATTTATGAACTGTTAAACTTATTTTACTTATATGTCTTTATAAACAATACTAATATTTGTTTAAAACGAAATGCAGTTTATTACCACTCTAGTACCAAAATGTTCTATCAAAACATTCCTCTCCTCTGTCTTATTGAAATGTATAAATATTATATTTACTTGCCTCTGATGTATAAAGTAATTATAAAAAAACACTTATTAACGCAATCATTCCATAATCTTCTTATATCATAACAATTTGCTAACAGAGATATTTGAAAAAGGATCTCTTCCGAGAGAAACATTTTCCGCTTCATTGGCTTATTTATACTGTTATGTTTATTCTCCAAATGAAAAGATTGTTAGAAGAAAAGAAACAAACAAACAATACCTGTCAGCTCAAAATAAACACAAAAGGTTTTTACTGTGTTCTATTTAACGAAAATGATTTTTTATACTTATGTACATACAATAAGTCTGAATACCTTTTAATCGAAGCGAGTCTACATATTTATATTATGTGACTATTGACCACGGTTAGTTAAAAATTGATAAATGAACGCAGTGTGACACAATATGTGACACTGCATAAGGCAACAGAGGTTTTTGGTTTGTTTTGCGATAAAATTAGCAAAACTAACTGCAAGCTTTGCCTGCCTGGGCATGGGAAAGGAAAACGGGACTTCACGGACCCGCAAGCCATCTTTCCTTATGTGAAAAATATCTTTTAAATTTGAGGATATTTACGAAGCGACCAATAACGCAAAAAGAACGAATGAAATATGAACTTGCAATTAAAACGTACATTGATCAAGCGCAAATTAAAAAGTATTGCTATAAATTAAACTGCTCTGACGTCGACAAAATGTATTGGCAGCGAGTTTAAATATCAAACAGTTTGATTTGTTACCAATTTCCTTTTTTAGCAGAAGTGAAATCAAGGGAAGGGCCGTGAATTTGAGAATCTATGTATGTTCTAATCTAGCGCCTGAAATCTGCGACTAAATATAATTTTACGAAGTTATAGACAAAGTAATTTAAAGAAAACAGAAAAATTATAGAAAAATATAGCCATCAGTAGTGTTCTAAGCGTGTGAATAAAATACAAATAATAGTAATGCTCATTGGTTTACTTACATATCTGGGTTGATTCGGTCGGGTATCTTTTGAATTTCAATCAAAATACTTTAAAGTTAGGCTATGTTAACACTCTTCGACATAACGGCGTACATATTAATTACAGTACAAACAAAACATTTTGTAAACAGCAAACAAAAACCGTGTCACGCTAAGCATATGTCAAACCAATCCTTCCTTTGAAGATTTGCGGTTCTCAGTAAAACCTCGTTGAATGCAGAGTTCATAATTAGAACAGTACAGACTTAATTAGAGTCGCTATGATTGCAGCCGTCAACGGCGTCAGCTGGGAGGAATGGTGGACCTACGACGGGATCTCAGGTGAGTCAAATTCTAACTATTGAATATTGCATACTTAGTTAAAATTCTGCATAATAAGCGTCTCGTTCTATAATTTGACGTTTCTATACCTAAACTAATTGTAAATTTAAATTCACTTGGACTGTTCGATATTTGAAATATTCACAAAATTAAGATGACTTATGTAAGTTACTTTTAAAAAAAAAGAAGAAAAAGGAAATAATTTATATTCCTTTTCTGTTCGGGCATATCTTCTACTCTGAGACGCATTTATAAAAGTTCCAAAACTATAAAAGTCGGAAATTAGATCTTAGTAGAATTAAGATGAAAAAAACAAACTTAGTATGACTTATGATACATACAGCTAATATCTCTTACAACAAACTATGAAGACTCAATAATTGTCAATAATGACAATACGAGTAAATGGTAATAATATTTCATTATTTCCTGCTTCTCTACTGCTATACTAGAGAATAGTATAATTTGAATAATAAGCAAATTATTATCTAGAACTCTAGAAGGAACATAGAAAGAGATTTTTGAATATTTGCCAAACATGAACGTCGCATAGACGCAAATACACAATAAACCGTCAGTTGTCAGTGGCAAATCCCGCGCGTGCGGCTGATCCGAAAATCTCAATCCATTGACCTACCGCAAACGCACCGCAAATATAACGTTTCCCGTATCAATTTTTCTGTGCCGATAACATTTTTGCCATTTTACGTGACGTGAAATTTATACGGCCAATTTATCTTGCATTCATATTGCGTTACTCGCGAAATTGTGAGGTGTGTTATCGTATCATTTCGTAACAGAAATTTCAGTCTTTCTCCAATTTTATGATATGCATATTATACCTGCTGTAAAAGTTTGATTTACGCGTTCTCGAATAAGCTTTACAGTGCATTTTACTCGTGAACGTTTCAGGTGGTTTATAGTTTAAGATATTTTAAGGAACATTTTACATGCTTTCAAGAAAAGGATAAAGTGTTACTTTTTAAACTACAGCCTTTTGCCATAAAATATTTTATTCAGCAATTATATCGTGTTTTTTTTTAATTTGTTATTTTTTCTTATATAAACATGTAAAAAAAATGATTTATTTATTCTTACATGTTAAATATTTTCTGAAATTTACGCGAGTAGTACACATTTTAATAAAACACTTAAATACTTAATATATATTGCGTTTTAAGACTGCCTCTGTAGCCAAACGGTTAAACGTATTGCCTAGCATTGCTTTAAGCGCGAGAGGTCGTAGATTCGAATCCCAAATAATTGTTTCTGTCAGGCAGGGCACAGAAGTCTGATTAACTACTTGCTTGTTAAAGAACGGATCAGTGAAGCGGACACACAAATGTGTTTGCTCCATGCCCCACAAGGGGGGAATCGGGATTTCACACACACATTTTGTGTTTTAGACGACATTAGACTGTTTTCGTGTTTTTTTTAATATTTGTCTTTATTTCGCTTATCGAACGAGTAATTTGTGTTTAGCTTCATTTCGTTGAAGCAAACTAATCAAGCAGCGTGGGCAGTCCTTAAAAATGTATCGAAGTCGTTAAAAATGTATTTTCGATAGGTCTCAGCCAGTGGGTATTAGCAAAGTGATGTTGCGTGATCCACCAGACCCTCTGATCTCTTCTAATATTCAAGACCATTAGTAATCACGCAACTATAAGTATATATTAGATTTTTAGGAATTGATCTTGTCTACAAACAAAAACGTAAGTTAAACAAAAAAAATGTAAACCTTTAAAACATTTTATGCATTAAGTTAAACAAGATTAAGAGTTAAAATGCGATATATTACTATATTTATTTGTGTAAATTTGTTTATATTCACAAATCGATTATTTTGTATACAGCAGGGTGGCTGTACAGCTATGGCCAAGGGAGAATTAAAGTCGCCAGTTGTCTCCATTAGCTTAAAGCGTGGCTGCTGTAAAATTTTCAAATGTCATCATCAAACTAGTTTACTAATATTATATATTTCATATTTTATACTAGTAATTTTGTAATGTAAATAAAAAGGGTTAAACATTTATTACCTCTACATAAAACACTTTAACGGTTTAAAACGCGATATACATTAGTTAAATCACGGTTTCAGATGCTTTGCAGCAGCTGGACAGGGTGGTTACGGGAGATATATTTATATCGCGTTATAAACCGTTAAAGTGTTTTATTTAAATGTGTACTACCCGCGTAAACTACAGACAGTATTTTATTATTACCTCTTTCAAAACAAGGCTGTTCTGAACGAAGTTGCCATATTTAATATTAGACTGAGTCTTTAGCTGCAAACCCTAACACGACGCTATTGACACATACCAAATAGTGACGCTGACCGCGGGTTCAAATCTCTGCTTCATCGATTTTTTCTACCATGTTAAAGTGGCGTTCGTTGTGAGCGTGGGTCATACATGCCGTTGAAAGCATTCAAGCTAGAGTAATACAGCGATCGGGAAAAGCTTGAAACATTCCCTGTCTGCGGGAACAATGCTCGAATAGCGCAATTAGAAGTGTGCGGCTGACGTAATTGCGCTTTTTATCCACGGCACTCGGTAGGTGCCGCGTGCCAAAAAGTATATACAATAAAGGAAAGTTAACGCATGGCTATAAAGTAGGTAGGCGTGACCACAACCGCTGCGCCGGCTTCCTCGTGCAATTTTCAAGGTCATAAATAATAAAACCGTGAACGCGTTCCAAAGCGCTTTGGCCACTTTTCCGCTGTTTTCACACATATTGAAATACCTTGAAGACGTGAGCGTTTTTCTAGATTGCACTTACACTTTTCAAGATATTAAAGCTTAGGAATAGTGATGGAAAACCGTAACGCCAATTATTTATTACTTAGTAGGTTTAAACACTTTTAACGGTTCGAAACGCTAAAGTTGGTAGTTAATTTTCTGTTCATTCGTTTTAACTACGATCCGACGTGGAGGGTATCCAAAATGGCGATTTTAATGTCAAAATAAACTATGCTACGCTAGCGCTACCTGTTTTGCAGTAGTTAAATAATTACACTAATTGAGTCCTTAACCACGGAATCTTCTCCATTATCACTATTAACGTTTTTTGAGATCTAGTGTTTTTAAAAGACATGTATTCTTATAGCGATACATATATAAATAAGACGAAATTCGCGACAATTATTATTTCTAGGAAAAAACGAAGATCAAATATTATTAGTATTCAGGATTCGACTTTCGCTTAGCGTAAACAGTTGAAAAAGAAACAAAATTCAGCAAAAGAAATTTAACCCTAGGCTATACAATCCTCTATCGGTCGATAGCTTAGTTGGGCTTACGATACATTTATTTACGATTATGTGTTACTACTACTAATACTTTAAACAAGGCAAAGTCGACTACTGTTCCATGTGCTATACTTTTCTCTTAAGAAGAATCAAACCAAAACATCGGGGAATACAAAGCCCTACTTCGTCTTATTTTTTTATCTGGTAACTTTTAAAACGGTTTAAAACACGAAATATCGTAGTTGGTTTAAATAAAATAATCCAGCGGTTTAAAACGCTATGTATATATATTAGATAAACAGCCCGCCGTTTCGACGTTTTTACGACAATCGTAGTTGGTACTTAATACAACGGAACGGATGACGGTAGCGGTAGTTTTTACTTTGACATTAGAGACACCCTCCATCCTTAGTCTCCTCGTGGCGACGGTTGCTGCAAAGTATTCTAAACGTGGGGCCCATAGTTAAAATCATTTAAATGAAGTTTAATTAATATATTTCGCGTTTTCAACAGTTAAAGTGTCTTATTGAAATGTGTACTACTCATAATAATTTGTATATGGTGGCAGATACAGTGACTGCGTAAAACATTAATCTTTATTATGATCGATCGGTATTTCTGAATGAACAATGTTTCATTAAAAACGATAATGAAAAGAACAGTTCTCTCGTAGTTATAATAATGAACACGTGCGCATTCATAAAATATTATTTCGTGCACATTTCATGCTAACGGTGTCACTGTATGAAACTGAAACAAATATTATCGAAATGATAAAACAGAATATTTATAATAACGTTACATAATCAGTTCATGATGTGTTCATTTATAATTCTAATCGAAAGTTCATCTAATGAGATATAGGAATTATTATAGCGCCATTAATTTAAATTGTGTTTGGCTAATAATAATTACATCCGCTAATATGTTGAACCCTGTTGTACTATTAAAATTTTAATGATTTAAATACTAAATGAGTCTTAAATAAACTAGATAAAGAAAAACATTCGAATACCAAACTTCGCAATAAATAAATTTCTATGAAATAAATAAATATCTCAACTACATTGACTCTGTCACGCTATTGTGATGTAAAATAGTAACACAGTTCTATTCTTAGAAACGTGTACAAATAAAATACTTTAACGGTTTAAAACGCGTAAACTTTTTTAACTACTCTTAAACCGTCAATAGTGTTTTATTTAAATTGTATTACGTGTAAACTATAGGAAATACCTTAACGTGTTCTTAAGAGGTTATTAAGGTTTTTACCCATATCTTGATATACTAATAATATATCAAGATTAAATAAATTTAATATATAATTAAATCTGTGCTCACAGGTCCAGCTTTCTGGGGTCTCATCAACCCAGAATGGTCACTTTGCAACAAAGGAAGGCGTCAGTCCCCCGTAAACTTGGAACCAGAGAAGTTACTCTTCGATCCGAATCTACGGTTTTTACACATAGATAAGCATAGGGTGAGTTCAAGAAACAGTTTAAGTGGAAAAGAAATTTTTAAACTACCCTTCTATACATGTTAAATATATTATTTAATTAAGGGGTCACTTTTGTAGCTCAATGTTTCCACGATGGTTAAGTGGACAGATTGACAGTTGAGTGGATAGTTTAACTGGACATCCGTCTCGTCAATTACATATATGTCCGTAAATAAAATTTACCATAAATAAAACTGGAAAAAATATTAATTCCACCTATATTTTTAATAATTTGTATACTTTTAAAAACAATTTCGATGTGTATAATGTTATAAATAATACTTATTATCAAATTGAACAATTTAACTAATGTTGTTTTTTAGAAGATTTACAACAGTATTTATATATATTTCTATATTGAAATGCTAAAATTATTATTTAATGGTCTCCATATTTTTATGATGAGCTGTTCTTCAGCAATCCAGGAAATTCACTAGATTTATAGAAGGCGAAGATGTTGTTTATAATTAATAATTTTCTTTACCAGATAAACGGATTAATAAGCAACACGGGCCACTCTGTAATCTTCACGGTGGAGAACGAAACCCGGCACCACATTAATATAACGGGCGGTCCCTTGTCCTATAAGTATCAGTTTCACGAGATCCACATACATTATGGCCTCCACGATCAATTCGGCTCGGAACATGCGATTAATGGATATTCTTTTCCCGCTGAGGTAAGCAAATTATCCCTCAGTAATATCGATAATATCTTATGTTATTTCTTATATCAGCTGTCCCTTTTGTATGATAAAATGTCTTCCACTAATTACTGAAAAACTGCGAATTAAACTATTATCACATAAAATAAAAACATTTATTCAATAAACCATAATAGAGAATCAATACAATGCAATAAATATTAAAATAGATGTGTGTAGAGGGACACCACTCAGCTTTTGTTGTACCTGGAAGTAATGCCTACTTCATTCAGCGCTGATTTTCAGTGATGCCCCACGCTTGACATTTGAAGTAGAACAGTGCATACATATAAAAACAAATGATGCCACTAATGCTGAATGAACTGACACAATACAAAACGTATTCAATAAAAAATAATTAAGAACAAATACATAAAATATGAAAAAATAATAAAAAAAGAAAACCATTTACATAGAAGATATACGCGACACAAGCGGCCTCTGAAATTCGCTGGCTCGAAAAATTTTATACCTTGATTTAAAAGTATTCAGTGAAGAAATTAGAAATTATATATTTTTTAAAACAGATAAATACATCCCCCGTCTTAGAACATTTTACAACAAATCTAAGGGGTTATTATACTTACTATACTTTACTACTTTATGACTTCAACGGAACTACAATAATTGTAGAACATTATGTGTCATTGTACGTCAGAAAAATAATTTAAAAGCCGCGACATTGGCTATTAGCTCCATAGCTACTACAGTAGAAAGTCAAACCGATTTTCAATCTCTACCTAGTTTTGTTTTTTTTTTATTTTGAACTTACGAGTATTTTACCACTAATCCTAAATAGTATTTATATGGAACAGAAAAACTTCTGTATTTATGTTTGCTCTTAATTAAAATTCTAAAGGACCTACTGCTGAAGTACTTGTATATCTATGGGTGAATACTCTTTCACATTAATTTAAGCCATTAAAACCCAGCCAAAGATTAAGCTAACTTCAAAAGAACTAGAACTTTTAAGCCTTGAAAGGGCGTTAATATTAAACCGTTTTGTCAACATAAAAATGTTGGTCTAGAAGTATGAATATCCGACAATTTTTCTTAATTCGATTTCGGGTTGAAAAGTATAATTATTATGTTAGTAGTCTATTCTGTCGATGTATGTGTCCGTGAATTCATATGGAAGCCACGATTAGAAAAATGCTGTCTAGGACGACAACACGGGGGACTGTTGACCTAAAGAAAGTCGTCGGCAGCAAATGGATAAATGGAGCTCAAGGACAGCCGAATGCTATGGGAGTAGCCTACGTCCAACAGTGGGCGTAGGTCAAACAGCCTGATAAAAATGGTGACTGATGATGATGAGTGCATGGAAACATCGCAAGAAATCCTTCATGTTCTAAAATCAAACCGTGCTAGATTTAGACATAACCTCTTGTATAAAAGGCAGTGGGAACGATCAGAAGAAACATTTTAATGAGACAGTATTTATGTGTCTAAGTCTAAGGATGTCTGCTATCAATTAGGGCGCATCTATCCAAGTGTATACTAACTTGGCGATAGTGCAGTACGTGCGAACTAACACTAATTATTTCGCTCGCGTTTCTCGTCAATACTTTCCAACCGTAATTAATACTATTTAGATTCTAAAACGACGTATACTACAGCTAGCTAAAAGAGATTTGCGTCCTTATAACCTTAAAATAAAGACGAAGTTCAGCCTCATAAAAAGGTAATAATGTCTATTGAAAGGATAGAAACTTAAGGACCAGTAGTTCCTGACATTTGTAGTTCTTACCATATACTTTGTGCTGCGCTTGGTTTTACTGGATATAGACCTCCCTCAATGACTCCAAGTATCAGCTTTCATGACCGGGTCGCTTCTTAAAGCCAGAGTAGTACGTGTTTTCCACGTCTAAGCTTTCCTATCTCTGCAATATATGCTGGGCATATCGATTGTAGAACCGACAGCCGTTGCCACTTCAACTTGCTGATATGGTTCCTCCACTCACAATACGTTTAGGCACTTGTTAATATTTAAAAATCTTACTTATAAAATAACAAAAATTTACCTATTAGTTAATAAAATTAATCACTTAACAAATTTCCGATCTACCTTCAACATTTGTAAGACCTCCTACCCGCAAATGTTTCGCATTGTGTACCCATACGCGTCGCATCTCAGCATGATTACCGACATTACATCAACACCATCTATTTTTGCGTAATCTTCCCCTAAGCCGCAAATAAACATTTCGAATACGTAACGTTGACGCGGATTTCTTTCACAACTTCAAAAGAAAGTGTAACAGATGTTTTTCCACGCATGGGCCGCGGCGCGTTAGCTCGAACGCCGCCGAATCCCAAAGTAATCCCAACGAACGACTCCGGACCAACTGAAGCGTGCTTGTTTATTTATGTGACAAATTCCTCCGTCAGTCGTGCTACACACGAAATCACGTGCTTATTCTGTTGCGGATTTTCCCCTTCGCAATTTTAATAAAATAAAATACGCCTCATTTATGCAGAGTAAATATAAAAACAATGAACAACGATGGGAAATGAGCATGCGTCTTCTTTAGTATTAACCTAAGTGAGGTATTGGGTAGCCTACAGCTTAAAATATATTGACATAATTGTATTTGAAATCTAAAATAGATATAGATAAAACATGACAAAAAAATTCAAATTAGCAATTACCGCAAAAGGAGCAACTAATTTGGATTAAAACAATAATTCTGAGAAACTTATTTCACTTAAAATTAGAGTTATAAAAAAGACTTAAAATTACATATATATAGGGAGTGCCTCGATAAATAATTATTCTTAATTCTAATTACAATTGTCGCAGAAATGAAGAGAAAAATGGAAGTTACATAATGATGGCGTCTACAGTAGGCTTATCCCTAGTTTTAGAACTAGTGGAGACTAGCGGAGACAAGATGTGTTAGTAGCAAATTGGTTGAAGCTTTAATCGATGCCTCCGATGAAAATAGCCATAATAAAAATCTATGCAGTGGTTGTTCATTCCATATTCAAAAAGCTTATATTTGGAAAATTTGTATCCCCACTGATTTCAAAATGTAGCAAATTTTTAAATTTATAATTTTTCTGAAACATGTTGGACTTCGTCTAGAAATTTGGATATTAAATGTATGGTAGATCACAGATAAAAAAGGCGTGAAGTTTAATCGCTTTTCGGTTACAGTCTATGTATTTCCTAATATCCAAGGCCAAAATAGGTCGACCGCGCAACTTACTTAGATGTTTTATGGCTGGGGTATTTGACTTCCCATCAAGTACTTTATAAAAAATAAAAGGTTCCAAACTTCCATTATTTACCTTATCACTTTATAATTTCGCCAATTGCCCTTTATTGTAACGTTTTTAACAAAGCCACTCTCGCTCTGTGTTACGCGAACTGAGCACGTACAAATATCATTTTAACATTCAAGATTTCCTTTTGTTACAGATTCAAATATTTGGTTTCAATTCGCAGCTGTATTCAAACTTTTCGGAGGCTTTACACAAGGCCCAGGGGATTGTTTCGATTTCTTTGCTCTTGCAGGTAAGTGATTGTATGTATCTAAGCTTACGTATTAGCTTACGGCGTAAACCAATCAACAAATTAACAAATTATTAAAGGTACATAAGACACTTTGCAAGTTGTAAACGCAGGTATATTTAAAACATTTTTTTCATAATTATCTATAGAAAGATGTTTATGGCGAAATAATAAATGCATACCCAAATGTTGGTAATAGAGCAATACGTATAATACTAATTGTTAAATCTTTATTGTGCAAATACTAAATTTATATCATTTTTAATATTAACTTTAAAAATGAAATAAAACATAGTAATACATATTATATTCTGACTAATTTGGTTAATAATGTATTGTGCGTTTACATACGTATGTTTCTTGATGAAATTTAAATAAATCTAAAATTTGTTTGTCATATTATGTCTATTAATTATTTTAATCATTTACCAAGCTTTTTGTTAACATAGTTTTGTCGTATGCCTTGGTGAAATTGCAAAGTGTATCCTACAATCTCCAAAGCACAAAAAAGTATTTCCTTTTGTAATTCGAATTTCAAACAATAACAGCAATTATAATATGAACTACTCTATTTAATAGCTCAACTTAACTTCAGTTTATTTAATCACGATATACGTTTCTGAAGTTGTATCGGAAATGTTTGAAGTACCTTCTAGTAATGTGAGCTATCGACGGCGTGTTATCAACGATGCCGCACCTTTTCATAGCATCCACCCAAACTAGGGGTAGTTAATTAAGGAAATTGGAATTTTCTGTGCGCTATTGGATTAGCCGCCAAAGCTATTAGTTCAAATTAAGAACTGTCTGAAATACGAAAGAAAAATGTTTACCTGTGATTCGAAAATTTATCGAATATTAATGAAAGGAACGTCTGTAGATTGCGCGAGTTCATTTAATAAATTAACTTAAATAAAATTCGTGGTTTCACTTCTAAAATAGAAGTGTTTTATAAGTAAAACGTGAAACATGTTATTTGATTATTTTTTATTTCGACTCTCCATATCAACTAACTTTACTCTAAAAAGTTTTTAAAAATTTTAAATTTAATGTATAATAAAAATTTATCGAATTTATTGTGTCTAATAGGTACAGTGTTAAATTATGTAAAGGCTTATAATAAAAAGTACACTTGCGTGTATAGTGTGTCCGATTTTTAAATTTATTTTAATGTCGTCCTATTGTTGAAGATAATCATATATATAAAGGTGAATTGCTTGTTTCCTCACAAAACTTAGTAACCTGAACTATGGTAAATGCTGGTTAATGCTGATTCCGTTAACGTTTGTCACGATTCTTAAAATTCACAATGTTTTTAGAAACCAACCAACTTTACTTAAATTATCTTCTAAATATATCAAAACCTATGTACAGGTTATGTTTTAACACAGATAAAAGCTAATTAAGAACACAATAGTAGAATTGTTAATTTGCTCTAACACATTGCTGCATATACCAATTCTAAACAATACAACAGGTTTAGTTTAGAGGAGATAGTTTAGTTTCTAGTTAATGTTGTGTCTTACAAAGCTTTGTTATATAAGTAAATGTAGTTTATTTAACGACATTTAGGAGGGATGAAGAACGACCATTACCGTGATTCAATCTCAAATTATGTTTAGCACGAGAGCTCCCAGGTTCAAACTCTATGACAAATAAATTGTTTTGGTCAGACAGGGCACAGAAGTCTGCACAACTTTCTCTCGAGAAACCTGCTAATAAAATCGATGAGTGAAACACAGACACGTTCAGAGAAATGGACTTGTCCCATATGCCCACATGCGAAAACGAGATTTCAGACTTTTACACAAGAGCTATTTACTATTTTGAGGGTTATAGCTTAGTTACTTAGCTGTGGGTGATATTGAAGTTAACTATTATTGTTTAAATAGATCTTTTTTTTAAATAAATAATGAAAAAGAAATGTTTTGTAAACTAAGAAAATTATAATGAATGTGGACGTAAGCCATAAGCGAGAAAGGGTTAATGACAAATTTAATGAAAGTAGAAAATCAGAGATAATCAAAGAGCGTGTAATTTTCTTCCTGAGTCAGCGTATCTCGAGTAACTATTTGATCGTTTTACGAGGCACTAATGAAGGCAGGTCCAATGTTGTCTCAGGGGGGCTATGTTTACACCGCGTCCATATTTCGCTAGCGAGCTAGCACACTATAAAGTCGAACGTGCTAAGGCGAGCAACTTTGCCTAAGGCTGTGGTCTCATATAAATGACGTAGGTTGAGTGTTGTTATCTTATTGACCGGTGTGGAAGCTAACAAACAAATCTAGAGGGATTTTATAAAGCTGAAGAGCCCGTTTAAACGCGCTAATGTCTGTAACGAATCGTTCGTATTGAAAAAATCTTTCTCTGTTGTATAGACCGTTTAGATTTTAGAGGAACGCGTTAGGCTATGAAATATCACACTGTGACGTCAAAATAATACTTAATATTAGACTTGCAAACATCAAAACAACATTTGCCGGAAAAACTAGTTTCCACAATATCAAACAAAAAAAATGTTTTCTTTATAAAGCAGCTTCTATGCAGTTTCTTGACTTAGCGAACACTGACAATCAGTCTTCGTTTAGTCGAGGAACGCTCATCATCTGATGATGGCTTCCTTTGGTCAAGGTGAAACGTAGAGAAAATTTTCAATTCTTGAAACATTACGACGATCGATCACTTCGGAAACTCAAGTTATTTTTTCTGATGTGTAATGTATGTAATTAAATAGTAATATCGTTTGTTAAGGTGAAGTTTAATAGTTGAAGTGTCGATTTTTTTTTAACATCATTTAGTCAGTGGCAACTACTGTTGTGAACTCTCGTTATGATCCTGGAAGAGCTCTCTGCTTTTGCCCAGGATCATAAGCATCTAATTATAAAAATTGCCGCCGTTAGCATGGTGTAGCATTTATATGAGACCACAACCTCACAGATATTATGCGACACTTATTATGTTAGCAGGCTCTATATTCCATTGAATTAGTTATTGTAGTTTCCAATGCACTTTACTAGTAATCGGAATAGCAATTAATAGATATTTGATACCAAAACTTATACAAACGATCTTAATACCATACCAAGTTCTAACTTGGTGATCTTTAAGTGATAACGAAATATACTTTCGATATAAAGAGTCTTCAATAAATTTAAAAAACAAAAATTATCTCCTTTTTTGTTATAGCTTGGTGATTTGTCGAATCCGGAACTAAGAGTATTGACTGAAGAATTAGAGAATATAAAATATGGAGGTATATACTTTAAGTAATGTTAGTTAGTTATAAATGTTTGGGTAGTAATAAAATATATATATCACGTTAAAGATCAGTCCTTAATTCCTTATGAAATATTCTTGGTAGATAAAAAATAGCAGTTACAAATTCAATACTGGCTTTGCTACTATCTTGTCTATTCTAGTTAGCTTTAGATACTGTCTATAGTTTACGCGAGTAGTACACATTTAAATAAAACACTTTAACGGTTTAAAACGCGATATATTAGTTACTAATATATGACGCGTTTTAAACCGTTAAAGTGTTTTATTTAAACTAGTTTGCTTTTCTAAATATGAGATCTGGTAGTCAATGCAGATTTAAAGGCCTTTGTTTTTAATTAAAATTAAAAGTAATCACTTATATCAATATAATTAAATGTATGACCGACAGTGAAATGGTTATACGTGTTGCCTAGCGTTACGTTTAACGCGAGAGGTCCTGGATTCGAGTCTCAGTGACAACCAAATCAGTTTTGGTCGGGCAGGGAACAGAAGTCTGAATTCGTTCGCTATGCCGAATGCCCCACTGAAAGATTGAATGATTTTAAAAGTGTGTACGATAATAAAAGAGAGGTTTTTCAGGAGCGGAAATGCCGGTAAATAAATTATCAGTTAGAGGACTGCTTCCTGATACAGATTATTACATGACGTATGACGGCTCCACGACAGCGCCCGCTTGCTACGAGACTGTCACTTGGGTTATCATCAACAAACCTATTTATATTACTAAACAACAGGTGAGACATTAGGTACTATTATAGATAAATACATATTTTGACCTTATCATTTGTGCTTAACAGTTGAAATTTCTTTAATATTATTTAACAAAAAAAACTCGAAAGTCCCCGTCCGAAGTCTAATCAATTATTACTTCAATGTAAGATTTTGTGAATAAAACAGACATATGTGTGTGTGATGTGTGCGCCATGCTACCTAAACAACAATATTGCATACTTATCACCTATTGAGAATTAGAGGTTAGAAAAGTGAGTTTTATAAATTAAAAATCGATTAATATTGAAAAAAATGTACGATACGGGCAGGACACAGCGTACCGTGCTATTGCTCTATCCAATTGAGTTACCGTATTCTACACGTCATCGTCGATTTTTTTTTAATTTTTCACAAGTGAGTTTTTCATAATTTAATAGTAATCTACCAAAAACATTGAAATAATAAAGGAATCTATAGGTCCACCTAAGGGCCTTGATTACATTCATACATATTATTAACAAGTGTGTAAGTAGATATTTTTAATCTATTCGATACGTCATTTCTAAAAAAAACATTAAAGTAATAAGAAGTAAGCAACTCGTTATCTAATACCAAACTTGCCATAGTTTCGCGTATATAACTCGAGAGATTTTGATAATTGCATAACACCATCCGCAGTATAAAACATACTTCTGAGCTTATATTTAACCCTTAACACAGTTAACTCAAATTTCAGTCGCAATGCTACAAACGGAGGCACTTGTAAATCAAACTGAAAGCCTGTTCAGTGTTCACGTTGCATACGAGTGCCTACGTACCGGTAATATTCATAAACAAGTTAACTAGTTAATTTTAAATTAAGAATGGCAAAATAACGTGAGCACTGCTCATATAAATTACGTACGAGTAACGTGCTCATTCAAAATAGTGGATTTTGCGAGGGAGAGTTTTAATACTGTATCGCGATTAACTAAGCCTTCGAGAATTCTTAAACCTAGGATGACGTCACATATAAAAACAAATTAATTTGTTGTCCTGACATATCTCAGGCCAAAGTTTCTAAATAATATAATTTACTTATTACCGTTTAGTATCCCTATTTACATGCATTTTGTTCAATTCTTACAAGTAAGGAATTTAAGAGAAATTGCATTAACCTCGCCGCCATTTTTTATTGATATAAATATCAAATCTAGTAAAAATAACCTATATTTTTCGTTTAAAACCGTTATTTTTTTACATATTTTATAAAAGGGTTTATTACTGTGGTTTTAAATTTACGTTTAAATCTAAAATTGACATTACACATTCACATTATCAAAAAAGCACTTCTACTCTAACTATTACTATTAAAGACTTATTCATATCCTTATCTGCAGTAAGATTATAGGGGTAAATCATATCCCCTCTTAAAAAGGCTTACCATATATTTACTATTGACAAAAAAAATCAGATTAGAACCGCTCTAGAACTGACGCAAAGAGATGCAAGCAAGCGTACACTTGCGATCGCCTCCCCGACTGGTGTTTTTGAATTGAGCCATGGTTGAGACCAGGGTAATAACATTTTCATTTGTGCTCACGCTACAATAAACAACTCACGTCCCTCGCCTTTAGACAAAGACTCCGCCGTGAGTTATGTACGTGTTAAAAGTAAACTGAAAGTGCCGCCTTCTATGGCTGTTATTATAAATCATTGTTTATGTTTTCCGTTTGTGTTAGCGGAAAATTAAGTGCTAGTTGAAACTGCTCGCGATCACCAACTCGAACGCCCAAGGGTTTTTTTTCCTTTTGTGAGCAAGAAGTGTCATGTTTTTAGGGCGTGGTTAAAAGGATTTGACGGCTTATATATCGTGATCAGGAAGTTGAGAAAAAATTAATATATGCATGTAGATTAACTAAAAAGATATAAAAAACCACTAAAATTTCACGTTATTGCTAGTTGTAAAATGATATATGTTCTGCCCAAGGGTTACCTTCAGGTTTGCGTTAAATGTTTATAGTTCCATTTTAGAAATGCGAGCTTTCGAAAGTGGAACGATGAAAATCGCGTTTTCAATCTCGCGCGTGAACAATATTTCCAAATTAATAACAAAAAGTTTATATAGCTTTCGTTCTATACAGTGTAATGTAGTTACAAAGTTGAATAACGTGAAAATGAGTCTTAACTCGAAATACAATTTTGCCAGCGGGGCGAATGAAGTAATGATTTTACTGACGGTAATCTGAAAGTTTGGCTTTGAGGTGTCTATAATCACAATCAAACAGTGATACAGCCTGAATGGCGATGGGTCGGAGATAGGGTGGATCGCGTGCTCTGAACCCGTTAATCTCGACCTTTATACCAACACCAACACTCTACGAACACATCAATTCTACAATTTTCAATTTCCCTCAAATCGCTCTGGTTCTGGGTCGTAAATATAATTATTTGTATGAAGTACACAGTTTTATACCTTACCTTTAATCGTTTTACTGTATGAATGGCCCCATATTTTCTAAACTTAATTTAAAAAAATTATTAAAATCATACATACCTATAACAGAAAAAACATATATTCCGTGATATAATATCAAAAAAAGGGAATTGACCTCTTTTTATACGTGTATGGCTAATAATTAACGTGTCTCCACCGGGTCCTTTATTTTTCCAATTAATTTATATTTTTTCTGAAATATGTTGACTTTGTTTGGAAATCTGGATATTAAATGGTGTAATGGGAATTTTCAATCGCTTAAAAAAGACAGAAATTCAAATACCCACACGCTATCTCTATCTCCTCTTTTATCTATGTCCTAGAGAGAAAAGTTACAGCTATGTAGCTAGTATCAAAGGAATGTCTAGGTGTGTATTATCTAGTAAGTGAATTAACACTTCGCTTTGGCACAGTTGCACGGCTTGAGGCGTCTCATGCAAGGTGACGCTAGACACCCGAAGGCACCTCTCGGGAACAACTTCCGACCTCCACAGCCTTTACACCATCGCGCTGTGAGGACCAACATTGACTTTGACTTGAGCAAGGTATGTACCCATATAGTGATATGATTTACATAATTATAGCGTAAGAGTTTGTAAGATGCCTTTCTTAACAAACAATAACTTAGTTTCTTTTGTAAGGATAGTTTCCTTTGAAAGTTCAGAACATATTGAAAAAAAAAAAATTAAAACATTATCAACAAAGTTATATCAAAACTATTTAAAACCATGAGATAAATACGTTACATTCTAAGACAGTGCTACGAAATTTGCTGTATACCTACACAGTGCTATAAAAATGTCAATTTTCACCAGCGTAGGTCCCAATTTTTTATTAATAGACACTGAGGTTTTAGGTGGCTCAGTTGACGGAGCGATAGTACCCCATCGCGCGTTCGATTTCTGCCTATACCATTTTTCTTTGTATTATTTTTAACTACCATTGACTTTTTCAGTATCCCGGCAAGACATGTCCCAGTATGAACAGGAATATGCATTATAAAGGTACGAAGTACCTTTTTAAAATTATAATATTAAATAGAAATTACATTATTTAAATTTATACAAATTGTTTTTTTTTTATGTTACAGCAAAAACGTGGACGCAGTATTAAACCTCAACGCCAGAATAGAATTTAACAGTAGAACAATCATGTAACCAACTACAAGTATATAAGCCTTTGTATATATTTTTGTACAGTCCTACTGGAATAATCTGCTTATGATAGTATTATTGTAATGTAATAAATTGTAATATATATTATTATTATAGTTGTAAGACGCTGAATGCTAAAATTCAATTACGAATGTATTGTAGACGAGTTAGATACTAGTTGTAAATGAAACATTCCATTAGCATTAGCGTATTCTTTTTAGACAATGTAATGGCCTCTTAAGATAGGTTTCATATTTTCGGATAGACTGTTCAGAATGCGCGCATCAGAATATTAGAACCATATATCTTAGTAATAATATAGTTCAAATATACGTATCTTGCAATATTTAAACGGTTTTGTATCCTTTACGCAGTAGACTTATATAACAAATACCAACTTTGTATTGATAGAGAATTATTTAATAAATTTAATAATTAATATTCGTTATTAAACACTTAATAATTTTATCGTTGTAGCGGAAAGTAAGAATGAATTTAGTGAATCATATCATACTAAAATGTTTAAATATCTATATCATTTGTTTATAGTGCGCTGTGAGATTCTTAGCTTTAATAAAACTTTGATTTACATGTCTATGGAGTATTTATCAATATTAATATACCTATTAAAATGTTCTGACTTCGGTCTGAAGCGAGAGTTTTATTTGATCACGACGAGCGCGTACTTATTTTGGAATTCAAAGGTTTCCCTTTGCGAGAATTATTAGTACGTTAGACCATTCCGGTTCCACGGAACGACCTTTACGAAGTCACAAAGTCAGCGATCGCTGGCTTAAAGAATATACCTTTACGTTTTTTTTCGTAGCAATGGAGTGGAACAGTCTGTTTTACTGTTCCTCCACTTCTGTGTTTGAATAAAAAGCTCATTTGAATTCTATGAGAATCGAAATTGTTCTACTTCTCGCTGTAGTAACTTAATTTAATGGAGTGCTATTCTGATGTCCTTTGGATTAGATGTCAGACGATGCTGTTCGGCTAACGCTGATGTGAGCTTTTTTGTAGCCAATGTGGTTCCACTTGTTAATACGACTTGTACGTAATTGTCGTAGACTAAAATTTGGTCACATTTAATAAGAGTAATGCGCTGTGTAAGTATTTGACATTTAGCTACCTTAGCACTCATACGATTTAATGTTTTGGGTCAAGAGAAGCTTTACTCATATGCTTTTGATAAGCTTACATCAAGCAGTGGACAGGGGCTGATGATGAAAAATGGTTACAAATGAGTTAACCTGAACGATCACACGAATACATATTAAGGTGGCAAGTATATAAAGACATGTGTGTGAGGACTGAAGTTCTGTTTTCCTGTCCAATGATCACCTTTATTTATAGTGAAATAGCTATAACGGCAAGTAGCCTCTAATGCAATCTAACGAGATTGCTACATTAGCTAGAATTGAGCAGAAAATATTAAAGTTTCCGGTTTCAAACCCAGGACCGTTGGTGCTTAACGTAAAGCTAAGCAATACTTTTACCCACTAAGCCTAAGCCTAAGGATGTAATCTGATATAATTTATAAGGCGTGGAAATACGTAAAAAGTAAAACGAACCGATTAAAATAATCCACGAAAGCTCAACAAACAAGCTGTTTATAGAAAAAAACTAAAGTAATAAACTTCTAATTAAGATCTATAAATCGCTCGATTTTCCACGCCGGAAAACTCAACCCCGCGTTATTGGAAAAGTTTCCGTTCGATCTACCTTAATAGACTTACACAAATTGAGTTCATTAAAAATTATTTTATCTAGCCGCGTTTATTATATTTAAAAGTTGTTGCAACGAGGAAGAAGCCAATCATGTTTTCGAATGGACATAGAAAAAGATGTAAGTGGTTTTATTAGTACATTTTGCCTTAATTTACTGTTTTTACGTTTATTGCTTGCCAATTTGTAATAGTTTATACTAGTGCCTAGTAACTTACAGAAGTAATGTTTTTAATGTGTAATATTATAAATTTAATTTTAGTTATGAATATTATATTATGACAGGATAGTTTTGTTTTCTTATAGCAGTAGGTCTCAAAATGCATTAAAAATATTTAACCTGTAACTACAAATAAATAAATATCATGTTCAATTTTATAGTCTCAATAAACGTCATCTTCTACTATGACCCGACAGCGTAAAATTAAAGGCGCGACAAGAGATTTTATTTTGATAAAAAATTTCACCAAAATGTGTATTTTAATGAATTATAAAGTTACTTGTTTTATGTTACTTTTTTTACAAAAACAAACTATACAACTTCTCTGTATACAGATTTTTAAAATTGCTAAATGTGTCCTGAAAACTTAATTTTGACTTGAAAATAACACAATTACATAGAATACATATGCGAAAATATATTTTTAATACCCATAAATAATAACACAAAGGAAAATATTGAAATTTTCGTCAATCCCAACGCGAATGTGTAAAGCGAAGATGTTTACAAAGTCTGCTAAACACTTGTTAGGAGTGGCGCAACTTGAGAGCACTCTGAAGACGAGTGTGAGCTCAGATGTACTTGAGTGTCGAGTTTATTTGCTTTATATACTTATTCATCGAGTGACGGAGATTGTGCATCGCTATCCGAGATCGACTTACTTTTTCCTATTTTCCAACGCGAGTCGTACAAGCATTAACGAATGTGTCGCACAGAACTGTACAAATACGAACTTAACTAGTATTTGAAACAGGTTTGATTCAGTCTGCTTAAAGTTTTTTCTTCTATTAACTTGTAAGTGTAACCTGATACTTTTCTACTAAATTGAAATTTTTAGATTCACAAAAAATAAATATTATGTATGCATACACACGCGTGAGTTGCATATACATCGATCGAGAAAATACGATCGTTGATTGGACACTGTAGCTCAATTGGTTCTAAATTTGAGTTTCCCAATTTAAAAATAAATCTTGTTAACATGTGCAATAACATTAATGTACTTAGGAAACTTTATCATTATTAAGACACGGTGGCTCAAATGGTCGTAAGTCTGATTTTCTCAATTTTAAAATAAATATTAGCCTTACATTAAATATAAAATCTCCGCTCATCTTTATAAAGTGAAGTATATTCTACGAATATAATCGAACACACGTCTCGAGATCACAATGAAAAAGTGTTAAAACTTCTTAACTTCGCATGAATAAGAAAAGGCCTGCCGCCGACATCAACAGTTGCTAACTCAAAAAATATTCCTTCAAAGAATCTACTTCTGCCTCAGTCGTCAGCCTAACTCTTTATTTGTAGGGCGATCCCTGGGGGAAAGAAGTTAAAAACAGCTTTCACCGGCCGACGCGTTTGAATAAGTTTCGGCGAAGTTTTATTGAAGTTGTAACTTTCGACCTGTTTGATATATGTACTTCGGCCATCTGTATGCCCGCCGTGGCCGAAGTTAGTGCACTCGTAAATTATTCAACCCCTCTTACACGTATACTCGTCATACCCAACTGTTACATACAGTGTTGTGATTTTTTCAGACTCCATTTATTACTCGCATGACGTCATCCGTTGTAATTCATAGTCCGTCGTTAATTTTATTTATTCTAATTATAGTGGCTTACACACACTAAAACATAAGTCAAATTCTGGTCTGCTTAATAAATTATTATACATATATAACAAAATCTCTTTGCATACTTTGTCGCGGGGGTATTGGGTAGATAAATATCTGTGTCTATTTCTTTTATAGATTTTTATTTAGGTCCTTCATCAACTTTCTTAGCCATGCTCGACTAAAACATTTTATTTGGTTTGTAAGGATCCCATGATCTAACGACCACTAAGCCACAGAGACGGTTAACATCATAACATTACTAAAAACAGTCATTTTAATGACAAACAGCACAGCCTCCAGCATTATTTATTAATCGCATAGTGATTCAAAATTGGCGCTCGTAGTAGAAGTACGTACGAAACGTAACTGTACGTAATATGGGGGAAACAAAAATACAGTAGAAATCAGTTTTCGCTTGCATAATATCGCACTTTGAGATTATTTATAGTGTAATACTTACCCTTACTTATTACTACAGAATAATCAACTCACATTTATAAAAAAAATGTTTTTATATCCAATAAAACTTCAATTTAGTAGTACTATTAGAATCCAATTAATTAAATATATACAGTATAATTCAGTAAACCTGCTTCTACGTTTAAATTTTCAGTTGAAAACACTTTGTGTTACCCGCGTGTGCTTAAGTTAGGACTAGATCTAATTTGCTACTTGGAAAAGGTTGCATTTCAGAATGGCTAATAGCGTTGCATTCAAGATTCAGGCTACAATATCGTCGATGGTGCAAAGCTCTGGGAGTTGGGAGCGTGGGAAGTAGCACGTGCCGGTTTATCCCGGCAATATTAACACTACGCTACATAATTTTATCCAGCCATAAATATCAACTGTAACCACGCTTTTGTTACATTTTACTTTCCTTCCATTAATACAGTGAAAGCCCTCATGGTGATCTATTTATTGCGACGTGTTTCGTTATGTATGATTGTGTGAAAGATAATAATAATCCACACAATGACACGCGTGGGCATTTTCCTTGCGTATAGTGATTACGCAAGGAAAATGCCCACGCGCCCTAATTGAGACGGCCGAATATGGATATCGAAAATTACATAAATATTGTTTATAAGATGTGTGATTTTAAACATTAGCAACGAAGTTTTTTCCTATTTGTGACTTCCAATTGGGAATAATGAAAAAAAAGATGTTATTATTAACTTTATATCGTTCATTCTAAAGTAACTTGTAAAAATCGTACTAAATTGTACTATTTATCTACTTAAAAGACTAATTTTAGAACATTTGTTTAAAAATAGATCTTGCTTTTATAAATACTACTAAGAAATTATTATTAATTATTACAACTCCTAAAAGCATCCGAAAAGTAGGGCCGTAGTTCAAAACAGTTTGTAAATAAGTTTAACCAATACATTTC